TCATCAATCCACAAAAAATCGTATATGAATAGTGATACTATTTTAAAACTTCTAAAAAGTTATGACTGATAGTTGTCCTATATAATTTTAGTGGTTATTTTCGTGCTCCTTACAGCACACCGACGCCTAAATTCGAAAACTTACAAAGGGATCGTCAGACTAAGTAGCCAAAACGGATATCCGATATGGACAAATGAGTGATGGAATACTGTTTATAGCTGGATCAGCTCATTTAAGCCATTAAAACAGATGGTTTGTGGCTCAGTGTAAACATGTGAAATTCGGAAACAAATCATGAACTTCTAAAGGTCAAATTGATAGATTGGATTAAGCGTAACTAACCAAGGTAGATACATCATTGAGGATTATGACATAAGCTACAACAAGCGTGAAAACGAGAACACCATTAGCTAAGTTACAGTTAATATTTTTGATTTAGCATTCAACGACAATTGATTTTTTCAATGTAAACGCAGCCAAAATTCCCACCTTTACTCTTAATTTATTGTAGTTTGCTTTCTAATTCTAGTAATGTCAACAATTCAGAAATTCTACTCTTATGTAAGGGATCATTTTAACCGGATCAGCTTTAATATTCAAAAGTCGACAAAACAAAAGAATAGTATTCAGTAGAAGAAATCCTAGCAATGGCGGACTGACAAAAAAGCTATCGATTCAAGGTACTACGAAAACTTTGGATTAAAGTTTTACTTAAATTTAGGGCTAACCTGGAAAATACAAATAATTGTCTTCATGTACCTTTTTGTAGTAATAAACGGTAAGCACGTAAGTAAAGAGAAGTAACAAACAATTAATACGTTCTTCGAAGTGAGCTTTTAGTCATGTTTATATGGAGCTATTATCTGTGTAACTGTACAGTAAGCCTGACTAATTAAAATATACTTTCCGAATGAACTTAAAACAACCGCAACGAGTAGTCAATCAGTTCCTGACTAATCGGAAAAGACCTTATATGTGGATAATTTATGGAAAATTCAACAGCAATATTGCAAAGTGTTAGCCAATGTTATCTAATTAATAAGTCTATTGATTTTTTCTTACGGTTACTCCACCCATAACGATAAACTCGTCCCAGTGGATACCGTCTATCTTCTCGAACCCTTTTAAGGGCCTAAACGGACTTCCAAGATTCCTCATATTTTTCTTAGTTAGGCTCAGATAATTAAGTTAAGGGTTGGAGTCTTTTGGTCCGAAAAGAATAGGAGGCTAAGTGGCCTTTGTTAGTCCTGGCAATGGTGATCTCTCAGTTGATCAAACTTTATCTTGAAAGCGTCGACGACGTGTTGAGGTAATGAATCCGACTCGTTGATTATTCCATGGGAAAGTCGATAGTCAACTGACAAGTAATTTGTTCTGGGCTTGTGAATTTTTTTAATGTCCTCGTAAATTCTCTGTTTTGAAAGACAACAAAAATGAGGGCATATCAGATGCAAATTTACCATTCAGTAATTTGAAAGCTGTGATCGATTCGCCTCTGGTTCTTTTATATGATAATGTAAGTAGGCTTATTTTAACCAATCGAGCATCATACGGGAGATTTGCTATTCCGGGAGTCAGCTTAGTTGCAGTTCTTCGAGCCTCTTCCAGGAGCTCACTGTCTGCTTTTAGGCAAGGGATAGCTGCTTGTATGCAGTACTCGAGTTTATTACGAACGAATACTGTATACGAAGTCAAAAGGGTTTTAGTATCGACACGGCTGAAGGTCCCACGTATTGACCATAAGATTCCCCGGCTATCGCATGGCAGTGTGCGGTAGTTTTTAAGTTTTTGCTAACGATGACTTTCAAGTTAATGTGTCTGGACGACAGATAGCTCACTGTTATCCATCGTGTATGTATCGACCACCGACAAATTTTAGACCATTCAGATAATTTCTCCAGGTCATTTTGAAGCGCCGAACTATCACCTTTACTTTTTATCCCTCCATATTTTGACATCGTCAGCATATAACAAGACCGATAATGAGAGAATAGGAAGGTCATTTCATAGAGGAGGGTCAACATTGGTCCCAAAACTATACAATGAAGCACTCCACTAAGTTGTTTCCCAGCTAGACAATTTCGAGTTCACCCGTACTCTTTGTTGACGTCCAACTAGGAAGTCCCTTATCTATATAAATAAAAAGCCTCTAACCCCGATATAACTTGACTTATATGACAGCCATTTGTGAGGAACTTTGCCAAAAGCCTTGCTGAAGTCAATGTAAGCTACGTTTATGAGTAAATTTCGGTATTTAAGAGCGTACCAACTTTCACAGGCTACTAATAAGTTAGTGGAACATGAATTACCTGTTCTAAAGTCATGTCGCTTTTCAGAAAGAATCCGGTTTTCGTCGAGGTACTTAAACAATTCCTTCTGAATAATCTTCTCTAAAATTTTAACAGCCACGCTGGTTAGGCTTACGGGTCAATAATCCTCAGGTTTATGTCTTGTACCTGTTTTGAAAACAAGACTTACTATGGCATTCTTCCAGCCTTTTGGTAATCCACCCTGGGATACAGATAGATTAAAACATGTGCTTAAGGGATTCGCGAAAAAATATTCCTTATCAAGCTTTTCTTCTTATAAGCTTGTAGACTTGCGGAGGGTCGAGGCATAAATATTTCGAGCTTCCCAATATTGAGATTGTCTTGTCAGCAGCGATATTTTTCCCCTCTTATAGTGAAGGGTGCAAATCTTTTAACTGAACCACGGTGGTTTCTCAGACCCCTTGGTGTAGTCCAAGGGACATGTGGTGCAGTGACTTTTATGTACGAATTTCTGGATGCGTTCCAAGCCGTTTCACTGGAGGACTTTGGTCTTAATGGCCGGGCTGGTCAACGAGTTTCTATTCGAAATAATTTTATGACGGTTCAGTCTTCAGATTTTTCAAGTCTACCGTAGGTGCATTAAAGTTTCCTACGATTAAACACCGATCACTTGATGACCAAGAGCTGAAACCGTCTAACAAGACTTTACTCACTTAAGTTTGGACTTCGGTAGACTAAAAACAATCAGCGACTCTTCCCTTTTGTATTTCAAGTGGCAATTAACTAATAAGCACGTCCCACTTCTATAGGACATGTTATCAATAACGACAGATGGGATAGTATTTCGAATGAATGGAGCTACTACTAGTCCCCTACTGTCTATAGACTGCAGCAGCCAAGTTTCTGGCTTGGTAGAGTCTATCTGTAGCTCCGGACATTTGCATAACAGATTTGAGGACCATTTAAATGGCTCCATGATGCACCCAAAGTGGTTTCAGAGCCTCACCACCCGAAAATTTACAATTTTAAGGTCATTCTTGCCACCATCTAACCCTAGTTTTACTTCTTTCTCAACTCATCTTTTTATATGGTCCGCGAGCAGTAATTCTTTGGGGACAAAAATCCTGACCCCTTTAGTTTATGTCCATTCCATTCATTAAGACCATCTCTAATCCAATTTCCTTTTCAGGTACCTCCAGAACAACCCTTCCACGGTGTGGGCATCCGGGAAGTGATAACCGCCCTCATATCTCTAACAGCACTAAAGACCACCGTAGTATCAAGTTCCTTTCACTAATACTTTTGGAAGCCTGGTTTAATTGTTTCAAGTCCATTTGGCTACCCAGTCTATAAACCCTAAATAAGGTGACTTTGAAGATATCCTGAGGCGTTAGCTAGTTTAGTACGTATTTTACCAACTCAATGTTATGCTCAAAACGAGTTCTGGGTTCTGAGCTTTCACTTTCCTTGACTCTATTGAAGACAACTGACCTTTCAATATGATCAGTCTTCAATTTCTCAGCTGCTATTTCAGGGACAAACTTTTCTTTAGCAACATTAAGTCGTTTTTTATTATTGATCTTTACCCATCCATCTACATTCATTGGAGTAGCAATTACAGTCGTGTTACACATACGGTAGTATCCTGGATAACTGTCGATAACTTAGGTAGTTAGGTTGTTGTTTTTCTCGCTAGAAATAGACCTAGCTTTGCGATTGGGTCTCCAGGTGTTTTTTGTCCGCTGCCATTTGGAGGGCGAGGAGCAGAAAAACTTCCTTTTTTGAGCTTTTATTTCTAACAGACCTCTTTGAATTCTATCCTCCCTCCTTCAGTCCGCGTAAGTTAATCGACTCTGAATTTATTTAAGGTAACTTTACATCAATTTGTATGTCGACCGAGAGAGTATCATTTAATGTCTCAACTACGCTTGTTAATACTCCTTTTAGCAGCAATCACCATTGCAATGGCTTCGCGTCCGAACAGCATTGCTGACAAAATCAAATGCAACTAATTTTACTAAACCCTTCGAAAGCTACAAGCGTTAGATTCGTGATATTATCATTTGCACTCATTGCACTGCATGATGGTTTGCACAGGGTATAGACAGTTTGGGAGTTGACAATTGCTTTTTTACACTGCCCAGTTGTCAGTCAGAGGTTTTAAAAAAGAAACTGCACACAAACAATACCCAGAGACAATAGGAAGTGATCACTATAGAAAAGTGAACTGAATTGTTAAACCAAGCGTAGAATCAAATACAAAAACTACCAATGTACTCAAAAGTACAGTTGGTAGATTACTTTTTAAAAAGGTACTTTGGGAGATTACTTTAAAATAAACCCAATTAAAACGAAAACAGTAGTCTTGATGCGTAGTAAAAGGTAGAAACAAGAAAACCAACCCAGCGAAAGAAAATACCAGTCCTTTTTAAATAGCACGCGTGGTAATACGAACATAAATTGGTACGTAGTCATACTCATTCATGAACTTCATGCGATAATATGGGAGAAACTCTATAATTAGCTTATATACAACATTCAGAACTAAAAGTCAGGATTCTGGGGTCGAGTCAATTACATACAATTGGTCATATACAGTCTTCAAGGACAGAGTGAAGTGTTTGTAATCATTTTTACTCCATGGTATTAATTAATAGTTCTCATGAGAATCATTTCTTGAATAAAGCTGCAGCTTTCTTCAAGCGTTTTAGGCAATATACAAGTGTGGTTTTACTTTTCATCACATTGTAACGGTTCACGTCCCGCCTGTAGGCACTTCAGTATTAAAGGGGAGTGCGGAGTAGTCCGTGGACAGAGCTGGAAATGAAGCATAGTTGACAGCACAGTGGTAGCACAAAACCCACATACACTCAGTAAGGAAATTAACAGACCTCGAGCTCCCAATTTTGAGGAAGGAGCTATAGTGAACTTTGGGGAAATGGCACAAACACTCCGAAATTTCCACAAACATTGGTGAAGGTCATTTGACTTCGGGAGTTTCCCCAAAATACCACAAAGATTTCCCAAAACTTGGGACATTAATCAGTGGCAATACAAGTCAAAAATGAAAAAAACCTAGAGATTAAGACTGGAAGTAGGTGGAATAATGCTTTAAGCAGAATACATAACATAGAACCTTAGTTGTACGCAGCGGTCTAGATGACCCTAAAATGCACTTGTACAGTTGTCACTTAAAAACCGAGCCAGATATCTGTCTTTACAAATCGATACTACTGACTTTGAATTTTCTATGGACTAGCTTATTTCTTTACTAATCCGAAATTATAGTATTGTCAGACTATAGAAAAATATAATAGTTACCATGACTTCATCTGACACCAGACGACTGATCATTTCGTATTTATGTAATTTGCGTAACTTATCTTCAAGCAATAGAGGAATGATCAGTAGATAGTCGGCTAAAAAGCAACATGTAAAAATGTCATGTTATGAATATTCTGTCCCATTTGACTCAAGGTGCATTCATCCTCTACGTTTCCTCATATCGCGATCTCGGGCTCGTAACCACAGAGAACTGAGACAGCAGATCAAACAATATGGAGGATGTGGAAAAAACAGATTTACCCTTTATGCGAAGACAACATGATTTTATCACCTCAGATTTGTTCCGAACGATGTTTGAGACGTATGTACGGCCTCAATTTGAAATCTGCTTTTTGAGCTTAAAGAAAATCAAGTATACCAAGCCGCTTCAATGCGACTAAATTAACGAAACATCATCACTTCTCTCATGGTGACAACCATCGAAAGACTGCACACGAAAGAGTGAACGTCTATTCACGCCCTCACTATTCTCATTAAGGGTTGCCCTTATTATGAATATTCTCCCAGTCGAAGTGACCACATCTCCATCAGTGAATAGCTTTGAGAGAAGACTTGACAGATATACTCACTTACAGACTACCACGGTTGTGTATATTGCTTATGCTGACAGATATGAGTAATACGTGGTAGCAATAATGCATTCAATCTATGATTTTAGTATTTTATCAAGGCACTGTGTAGGTTGCATGAAACAATATATTGGTTTTTCTCACCAAGTTTCCGTTTATTAAACCATCTCCTTCGCGGACCAGCTGTGTCTGATGCATGACTCAAATTACTACAGTTATAATTAGTGGAAACCAGTAATTACTTCCTATGTATCTTATTATCGTCTCCGTTTCCCTCTTGTACTTTCATTTCTGTCCTTTTTACACATAATCATTTAAGTAAATTATTTATTTACTCTTGACACAATCATCTCTTGTTATTTGAACCATCACTGTGTCATTTTCGCATTGCAACCAACCAACCTCCTCTCCGGTAATGTGGTAGCCACTGGTACCTATAAGCCCTTCTGCCTTGAGACAACCGCACTCACCCAACTACAAGATATGCAAATCTACGAATAACTACCGAACTTACTAGAATAAAGGTAGTCCATTGACTAGACTATCATCCAGTTGATATTATCAAAAACTTAGAACCATGCCTAAACAACAAGAAGCGAGCGCAAAGAAGTCAATCGGATAACATAGGATTGCGAGAAAGATATTGGACATTGGATCTTACTGATCGGAATGTTAGAAATAATGTACTGTATGTAAGCAAACATTACTAATTTATTACTCTACCCAAGCCTATTTCAATATCCATGGGTTGTTACCAATGTCGTTAATATACCTAGGGTTATCAGTTCAGTCGCGACATTTAACATGGGTCACATGTCTGAAAATGTATCAAGAGTTCCATTGTCTGAGATGGCAACTGATGAGTGAAACTCCAGACTGACAGTATAAATTAAACTCGTTGATGAGGTATTCTCTTATTAAGTACTATATTAGCTTAAAAAGACCCAACGATTCCAAGTTTGCCTCCTGTATCTTTTTCACTATCCAGCACATTTATAACGAGCTGGTGAAAAACAGATAATTTCCTTGCAATCACTTCCTGATACCAGGATACATCCTTATGCCTTCAATATCTTTTAAAGTCAGCAGTTTAGTCGCTCGACTGCATTAGTCCTAGTACGTTTGATAGATATTTGAAGGTTAGGGCGATGGGGTTTATAGAAATTACAACCACTACACCATGCGGCATTTGGCTGGTTAGTTGCAACATGAAAGATTTTAGGATTGGAATTATAAAGAGATCGAGGATAAAAACAATCTTAGTTAAATAATTAATACGAACATAATTTACACCCATGTGGCCGTAAATCGATACCCGAAATATGTAGTCTTGTACGTTTGCGATACTAATCCTGACCACATTAATTTTACTGGACACACTACAAGTGAAGTTGCCTAATCATCTTCAGTTGTTATGCCTCGATTTGTCCACCCACTACTATGCGGAGGATAACTTGTATAAATCTAGATTAAGACATTGACGCGATAGACTGATTGGCTTAACCTTGAGGCTGGTATGCGTGAGTTCGAAGTGAGACGAACTGTTTAGGGTAGAAAGACGAAAAAGATTCTATCACCTGATTGGCTGGCAAGCACGAGAGAGAAAAAAAGTCAACACTACCCGATTTATGCCTAATTCCGATCTGTTTCTCGACTCAGATCAGTGTAAAGAGATGCATGAATAAATAGATGACTAACCAGACCATAACGCACAAACAACTAGGAAAATACAATCACATCCAGAACTGGAGATTAAAGTAGAAAATAGAGTAAAAAATATTACGTTTGAATTAAAATAGTTCTGTAACAGACAAGGTTATGGCAGTCAATCATCCATGAAAAGAAAGCTCATGGTCTGTAAAACAAAATGGGATCAAAAATAAATGCTACTGTTTTACAAGATCTGAATTAAATGAAATAACGTCCCCAAAAATAGCTTCCATAGTTTGTCAAGGCTTCTTGTTCCTCTGTTCACATCATCAGAGGATTTCTCACAACAAAGAGTAAGTCTATATCATATACGTTTTCAACTCATCTACCATTCTCCGGGTATATATCCGACTCACGTCATTTTGATGGAGTTTTGTTCTCTGAGCTGAATGGCTCGATCGTGGGGCTTTCATCGTTCTTCTGAACGACATCATCAGCGCAAACTTCAGATAGAAGTGAAGTGTTCGAATTTCTCCATATGCGTTTCACAGCTTGTTCTGTACGCTTCGATGTTGACGGGTTCTTATTGACCTTAAATTTATCATTGCTTACTTCTTTGTTTTGGTTGTATCTCCCATTGGTTTGATTTTCGTTCCTATATTTCTGCATAATTTTCCTGATTGGTTGATAAATTGGATCAATTTCAGTGTGCTTGTTGATTGCTGATTGACCCGAGTGTCAGGCTTTTAAAAATTCTCTGGTGTTTTTGGAATTTCCTCTGTCCAAGATTTCCACATTTTTCCAATCGAATGAGTGTCCGCAGTTGTCCACGTGTATTGATATAAGTGAGAAGATATCAAGGAGTTTGACTGCTAATTGATGTTCATGTAGGCGAAGGTGAAGGGGGCGTCCGCCTTGTCCGATGTAGTGTTTTTCGCAGTTGGCATAATTTATTTTGTAGATGATGTTTGATTTGTCTTCCTTTGTTATTTCACCCTTTGGTTTGCATAGGATTGATTGTAGTGATTTTGTCGGTTTGTGTGCCACACCTATCTCGAAGGTTTTCAGCAGTCTTGTTGCTGTTTCTGATATGACTTTTATGTATGGTAGGGCGATCCTTATGTTGATTTCTGTGCTTGAGTTAGGTTCTGATGCTGCGTGCGGTTGGTATTTTTTGATGAAGTTGATTGGGTAGCCGTTCTTATGAAATAGGTCCTTCAGCTACTTCTCTTCATTTTTTCGTGCTGCCAGTGTCCTCGCCCTTTTGAAAAAAGTGTGTACGCAGTTGATTTTGTGAGCTCTTGGGTTGTTGCTATTGTAGTTGAGAATTTGATCTGTATGGGTCGGTTTCCTATACATTTGTGTTTCCAGTTTTCCTGTGTCGGTTCTAGTGATTAATATATCGAAGAATCATAGCCTGTTGTTTGACTCCTGTTCCATTGTGGACTTGACGTCATCTAAGACGTTGATCAGCTTGTAAGTGTTTTCCAGCTCATCCCTTTTGACGATGACAAATGTGTCGTCTACATAGCAAATCCAAATTTTTGGCTTGATTAATTGTATTATCGCGGCTTCTAGTCTTTGCATCGCTGCTTCTACTATTAGAGCAGTGCTAATATTATAGTAGACCACAATTCTACATTAGTACCTGGGTGGGTGTACCATCGTACCTTTGTATAAAGTGAAGACTTGTATAGCCTCTAAACAAGCCACTTATGTGCAGTTTGAGCTTATACATGATCCTGGGAAATCTTTTATGAAGAAATGAGGTGTGCCATAATGGTACCTTTATTATATTCAGAAACATTTGACCACTCAGACAGTTTTTAAGCAAGGATAGCAGTATTCGGGAAAGTCTACTTCACTAACTTTGTTTACGAAGAGAGCATATTGAAAAGAGTAGAATTCCTTCTCTGGTCCTATATGGTTTGTCCAGCCTCCAGACACTGAGAGTAGTCAGGAGCCCGAAAATTTTCTTTCCCAGATATTTGTTAGATTTCGTGTAAAGTCTCATCTTGCCTATATGTTGGCTAAATTTACCAACGGTTTGTCCTTATACAACCTTGTTCGTATTATAAAAAGAGCGACTGATTTACAAAAAGTTTGATCTCTCCAATCTCATATTTAAAGGTTGAAAGATAACATAATTTTCCGCAGTTTTGAATGTTGTTCGGACACTTGCACTTACCTTTTACGCTTGTGACCCCTCATGGAGGAGTATAGGCCGCCCATCAGCATTCTCCACTGAACTTCGACCTGGACAAACCTTTCCAGTTGTTCTCATTTGCTATTTATTCTTTTGATGTCTGCTCACAATTCGCGATCAGTTGTATCCCTTGATCTCACATTTTCCCGTTTCCCTTCAGCATTCCAAGCCAGAACTTGTCTCATGATGCAATTTTGAGATTTCTGAAATCCTCGTCCTATCTACCTCCAACGTCATTTCCTAATTTTCTTTTTGTTACGTGCCACAGT